GTATGAATGGCAAAGGCAGAGAAATGGCTGAGTGACAAGTAGGAGACTTGGACCAGGTAAAAAAATTAGTACTTATAGAATCAAATAATGAACTGTCAAAGGTTTATGAAAATGTTTCTTCCAAGAATCTGAATAATGCTCTAGAAAATATAAATCATGAACTTACTTACCTCTGAAATGTGATTTTAACTTGAAGATCTAATGTTAATATGTCAGAAATAAACATGGAAGTTTTAACTTCTTTTCCCTTATTATGCTACCAAGACAAGTTTAAGGCATGCTCATTAGGCTCTTTATCATTACTGAGAATGGTGAAAGTAGTTTTCTTGACAGCAGATTCACCAAAACCCATCATGCTTTTATACCAATCTTAAATATTATTTCTAAGATAGATGAGGCAAGCAAATCATTTGTTTGTTGCCTAAAAACAACGTGCCCTTCCTCTCATATTCTGCTTTCACATAATTCACCCACAGGGAAAATGGTCTTTGAATAGTCAGCAGACCAAAAAAGGCAAGGTCATCTGAATTCTGAGTATCTCCACATAGGCCAGTATAACCCATTTCTAGGAGCACATCTCATTCATAATGAAAAATTAATTTTCACCATACTTGCTTGAATAATACATTAGTCAGAAAGTTCTGCTTAGGTTCAAAGGGAAGGGATGTTAAGTCCACACCTTGATGGGTAATTCTGGAAGAGCATTTGGGTCCTGAAACATTGTTGGGGTCATTTTTGGAAAATATGACCTGCCATAGGTTTCTTTTAAAAGTGGGAGAAGGGTGACTGAAAAGGCAGAAGGGAAAAAGGAGAACTGGCATAACCCATTGAACATGGTAATGTTCTTTATGCAGATGAATTTCAAGAATATATATGGGAACTGAAGATCTGGATTTGACTCCCTTAAAGCTATATATGCCTGCATATCCCTGGAGAGTTGAATACTCCTGGGAGTATGCATACCCTTGTTTGAGGACCCAGCTGTAGATTATACTTCTGTTCTTTAATTATCTGAGTATTTAAGATGCATACTTAACTAAATTTTTTCTAAGTTATTTAGCATTTCTATTGAGGTAAAAATGTGTATTCTGGAACACTAAAAATTGTTTCATTTTAAAGAATGACCATTCTTTTCACTCAGCTAGGCAAAATCAGCTAATAGAAACAAACCATAATATCAATGTCACAAGAACTTTCATAACTGAATATACTACGAACTAGAGCAAAATAGTGATGCATCTTTCCTGAGGACAAAAATGTTTCTCTTCATAAAGTCAGAGAAGGTCAGATCTCTAGAAGCAGATGTTGATAACATGGAAGAAATTTTACATTTAGTTGTTTAACATTTCATTTATAAAGTATAGAAATGAAATGGACATAAACTATTAGAACAGTTAGCATTTGATTAACTTCCAAATATATGAATACATGGGCACAAAATTCTGACTTCCTTTTTTATCTTTATCAATAAGCCAGTGATCTTAAAGAGATGATTTCTTACTTCTAAGTGCCATTTCCTGAAGATAATATTCCTTACCTATGAAGTTCAATGAAATGTTTACAACACTATTCTAATTTTCATCAGACATCATGACCTCAAATCATCTGGAAAGACAGTATATTAAGGAATAAAGACATTTCCTTTAAAACAGTGGGGATAACTAATTTACTATCTTTTTATATACAGGAGATAAGAGCAATATAGTAGTTATAAGAATGTCTACATTAATTGACCAGTTATTAATTACTATTTTCCGGGCATAATTCTAAGAACTGAGGACAGATGGGTGAATGAGAAAGTTGTAACTACCATTAATTGAGTGCTTACTATGTGCCAGGCTCTGGCCTAAGAGTTGCACACATAGATCCATTTAATCCTCAAACACCTCTATGACATGGGTACTATGAATTATTTTACATATGAGAAAATTGAGGCATAGAGAAGTTAAATTAACTCTTCCAGCTAGTAATTGGTAGAAATAGTCCTGGCTCTCACAGAGCTTCTACTAATTTAAAATCCTATTTTCTTCTTTGCCTCTGTCACAGACCTAATAAACAAACAGAACTGAATATGGCTCAAATAGATTGTGTGACTATTCCTTTTAGATGTTTCTTTTTGGAAATGTTTGAACAAAATTCTAAATAGCTCCATCTTCATCAAATGTTGTGACCTCAAAATACCTAAAAAACTTGCATGTTACAAGACTGGATTTGTTTGAATAGTTGGGGGGAAAATCCCATTATTTTTCTCTCCATTAGTGTAGGTATATACACATACTATGTGTTACTTGGGAAAACCACTTCTCTAATTCAGGTAGGCCCTTGCGGGGCTGAAATTAGGGGACCGTGTCTCATTATGGGGGAGGAGGAGTCCATAGTTCAAACTAATTAGGCCTCATTGCCTTGCTGATAGTTCTGGTTTAAGACTACAGAAGCATGATTTAAATGTAGCAAATCTGTTTCTCTTGGGATTAACAGAGTAGGTCAATGTTACTTTTGCAATGGAAGTGATAAGAGACTGCTGGTAGCCATATTCCCTGGCCTCAAGAGAAAATGACTCCACAATATTGAGAAGATGTAGAGAAATTCAGATAACGAACATTTTAATCAAGCTATGCAAGAATAGGTTGATCCTTACCCTTTCCAGTGATGAGTATAATTTTTTACTTAAGCATAAGTGGGTGTCTGTTTCAATGCATTTTTACAAAATCATTACCATAACATATAGCAGAAAGAACAATGGTTAGGAATATGAATAGAATTTTTAAATCTTTTATAGGTGAACCCTCTTTCCCTAAGAATATAGAACTGTCTACAACTCAAAGGATGGTTTACCTGTTTTGTTTTAAAAAATGGTATGTAAAATATTTACCTATGAATTCTAAGCAAGTGATCACAAAGTATTATTTTAATAATTCTACTTCTTTAGCATATGACAAAACCACAATATAGCTAGAAAGACAAAATGTTTTATTTTAAAACACTGGAATAACATTAACAGACAAATGCCCATTATATAACCAATGTTAAATATTTGGAGACTGTATCTTTTAAAATGTGGTAGCCACTTCCACAGAGCTAAATATTGCAGTTATCCTACCAAATGTCTTCTCTAACACAACAGTACTTGATATGATGAGAAGTACCAAGAAGACCCAACTAATTATGCAGTCACCATCTTAGAGTTTAACTTAAGTTTTGTCCAAGATGTTCCTGACACATGAAGCTTCCGGTTGAATTTCAGAAATGTTAACAAAAGTATCTTCCTTTTTTGCCTGTGAATGTTTGGGTATTGCTGTATTGTTGGTTAATATCCACTACAGACACTGGTTCTAGGCCAGCCCAAGGGTCTTCAAGCATTGAAGGCTTGAAATAACTTTCCAAGTCATTAGACATTCTTTTTTCTCTACCACGCCCTGATCCAAATGGTGTAGATGTCCTTGGAGAACCCTTTAGAAAAAAAATCAGTTAAAAAACATTTAGTAGAGATAATTGGTACTTTTTAAAAAAAGCTGGTGGGGATCACACCGCTAGTTAGGGTTGTGTTTTGAACCCAAATATGTTTAACTACAAAGTCCATGCTTCCTTTAATTTGGTGTTTTCTTTTGGGTAGAATGTAATTAAACCAATTTGACATAACTCATTTATCAATAATTCCATGCCCATTGTCATGTCAAATACTTCCTGGATTTCTAATGTAACATCTTTGTGGAACTATCAGTTGGTGGTAAGAAATTAATTGTAGTACAACTTTTCCTCAAAATTTTGACCGTTTTTTTCTGGAGGAAAATTAAAACTTTTTAACCCTACAGTTTTGAAATTTTTAGAACCTTTTCCTCTCATGAATTTTTATTTATCTCCTTGGCTTCAGACTCAAAGGGGTGAGGTGGGGTGGGGTCAGCATAATTAAAGTTGTTTTAAATCACAGAAATCCTAGACACAGGAGAAATACTCCACCTACTATATTAAATCTCAATGAAAATGGGAAACTCCACTATCACTGGTTTTCTCCTGAAAACACGTGGAAGCAAGAGGTCAGTGTAATTTGAATAAATCCTTCCCACCCCCCACAACACACACACACACACACACACACA